AGGAGGGGAAGACCCTCTATGAGATGGATTGATTCGGTGACTGGGGTAATCGGGATGGGTGTGTCAGAGGCAGTGCCGTTGGCGCAGGATAGAGCAGGGTTTAGGGGTGTTGTGCATAGGGTCGCTATGAGTCACAAAAGACTCGATGGCTCATAACAACAACAACAGATCCATATGAGATCCAGTTTATTGGAGTAGGTCAGCTATATCAGTAAACAGTGATGCTCAGCAATCCTGTATCTTAGTCTCATCTATATTGACTTTCCTGATTGTGACAAACATTTGAGAAGGCAAATACTAAATTGATGTCTGCTTTTCTCAACACATGGCATTTCATTTACTACTGATAATGTGTTTGGCATCATGTCATTTTGTTTTAATTATAAAAACTGGTTAAAAATAGAAGCAGTTACCATGTCACTTCCAACTGAGGATGACCCTTGTGTGTCAGAAAAGAACCATGCTTTGTAAAAATTTTAGTGGTTAATTTTACGTAAGTAGCTCACAAGGACTTCACATTCAGACCTCCAACTTTTAGTTAACAGCCAAGCATGTTAACCATTTGTGTCACACAGGGAAAATCCATCTTACTGTTTCTTTTTTTAAATATATATTTTAGTTAAAACAATTTTTTTAATCTTTTTTATTCATTTTAATGAAAGTTTACAGAGACTTTGGATTTCCATTCATTCATTGTTGCACTGTTTCTTGATGGTAATAATTATGATTTTTAGTTTTTATGTTCATATTCTTTGCCAAAGATTAAATCTCTTTACTTGTAAACAAATTCACCAAGTTTAAGCTTTATACTATCATAACTTTTCCAGATCATTAAAGTAACACATGCTTTGCAATTACATTCAGAAAATATGAGCTATACAGAAACAATTACCAGTAATCTTACCACTTTTGTGGTAAGATACTATTAATATTTTATATATTAAGATGTGTAAGATACTATTGATATTTTCCTGTTTGCTTTTACTTTTTTGTTCTTTTACCTAATTGAAATGCTCTTGAACTATGGTTAGATTTTTACTTACATTTTATTATGACAACTTTGATGTTAAAATTTCTTTGAAAACATACATATAGATATTATTTGCTTGACTAGAAATGCTTTGTCATATGCATATGTAAAAATTTGTTAAGCTATTTTTGTGTTACTTGCCCTTTCTCTTTTGTTAGATTAAAAAGCACTATTTTGAAACATGTTTTTACCAAAGATATTTTTATGTCTTATGGGACTTTGCTTGTCATATTTCTGGTGATAGAACAGCCATAAGGTCATGAAGTTCCATGTTTTTCACATTTTAATCATTTGTATGCTTTTGCAAGGGAAAGAAATTATTGGTTTCTAATACTTTTCTTTATTATACATAAACATTGTTTCATTGTTTTATATAAAAGTTATATAATTTTTCATTATTTAAAGCAATTCAGTGAACATTCTTGTAAATATTTTCCCCCTTCAATTAAATTCAGTTAATTCCCTTTGATCAGATTTGTAAAAATTGACTGATTCAAATAGTAGGGCTATTTTTCTTTTTCTGGCATCCATTGAAAATATTGTACAAAAAGTGCTAAATCATTCTTTCTCTCTTACCCACAGCTCACTACTCTGGGAAATCTTACACCTTCAAGCACTGTGTTTTTCTGCTGTGATATGCAGGAAAGGTTCAGACCAGCCATCAAGTATTTTGGGGATATCATTAGTGTAGGACAAAGACTGGTATGTTTGCTTATTCATTTCTAGTTTGCTGAATTACCATGTGCTTTCCTATACATACATGTTTGTATACATATTACTAACTGTTTTTATTTCTGGTTACATTTACAGTTGCAAGGAGCCCGGATTTTAGGAATTCCAGTTATTGTAACAGAACAGTATCCTAAAGGTCTTGGAAGCACTGTTCAGGAAATTGATTTAACAGGTGTGAAACTGGTCCTTCCAAAGACCAAGTTTTCAATGGTATTACCAGAAGTAGAGGCTGCATTAGCTGAGATTCCTGGAGTCAGAAGTGTTGTATTATTTGGAGTAGAAGTAAGTACTTATGTTGTGATGTATACTTACATTGTGATGTATGTGGAGAAAATTTGACTCTTCTAGAAGGCAATTTTGATTTTACAAAAATCATTGTTTATGAGAGATTGACTACTTGCATGGCGCTAATCCAAACACTTAAGTCTGTTAACCTCCTAAATCATCACAACCCAATGAGCTAAGCAGTCATAGTCTCCGCATTTATGGATGAAGAAACAGCATAGTGAGCAGGATGATAGAGCTAGTAAGTTACAGAGATAGGTTTGAATCTAGCTGATTGTTCTGTGGTCCTGCATTTTTTTAAGTACTATATTTGAATACATATTCAACCAAAGACATTCTTTTTATTTATATCTGTTTGAATTTTACTTTGATTTTGGGGGACAAGAGGTGAGTAGAGGGTGTTTGTGTTAGAACAGCGTAAAAATTCATATAGTTTCGTGTTTTAATAACATATATACTTTTCTAAAGGGAAAAAAAATCCTCATTGCTTTCTAATGTTGATTTTTTTTTTTTTAGTAATTTTAATGAACATTTACAGAGATTTTGGATTTCCATTCATTCGTTGCTGCACTTCTCTCCCCGCCCAGCACTTCCCCCTTCTAATGTTGATTTAAAGATTTTTTTTTAAACATGGACATACAGAATCTAGATACTTGCTCATAACTTTAATTCTTTTTGTTCATAACCTTTAAAGAACTGTACCTAAAGTAGATTAAAAATACAGAAGTACAGAAATATAAATGAATGTATCTGTGCAGTTTGAATTAGTAGATCTTATAGTAGTGGCTTTCTGTACTAGAAGTACATAGCCTTAGGTTTAAATGTATACTAAATACTTCTATGTTTTGACATCAGTAATGAGAATGTAGAGGAAGCCTGTTTGTATAAACTATACCAGATGCTATTGCTGACATTTGCATTTTTTTTGCTTGTTCGTCATAATTGTCTCATGCTTAATCAAAATGCTAATTTTAATGAGTCATCATTTAATAAGTCTGCAAAGCTCTCTTGTCACGTGAAGTTAAAGTCACCATTGTGTTGTTACTAAAATCTGAATTTACTGGTTATATAATCTAGTTTTTGCTGGAACATTTTTTTAGTTTATATTCTCTATTAATGAATTATTAGTTTATTAGTGCTTAAAAACATGGAATCTACATATTATTAAATTTACTAGTGAAATAAATTGGGCATTTTTTGTCTGTGCTACAAATCAGTTTTAATTTGACCTACCTTTTCTAGTGGGTACCTTGTAATGACTCAGATTTTCCACTGTCTTTTCAGTATATATTAAAGCATAATTATTATTTATGGTTAACCCTTGGTGTATGTGTGTAGAAATAAGCACAAATATAAATGCCTGCAACAGTGAATGGTAGCAGTCAGCTACATGAAGGTCATCCAAATGACAGATGTCCTAAAAAAAAACACACAGAACAACTTACAAAACTCTAAGAGTGTGTTCAGAGTTCCTAGTAGGAGCAAAAGTAATTTAATCCAGTTACTCTTTATACCCAAGCCAAATGCTGATTTATGTTCAAGATCGCCTAGCTAACAACTAGAGACAGAACTAGGTTTGTGAAAAAAAAAATAATAAAAAAAGAACTAGGTTTGTGAACAAGGTCAATCGACTTGTAATATTTCTGCCTTATTATGTTGTTTGATATTTGTAAAATATTTTTAATTTACTGTGTATGATTTTTTTTTCAACTAGACTCATGTGTGCATACAGCAGACTGCTCTGGAGCTAGTTGGCCGAGGTATTGAGGTTCATATTGTCGCTGATGCTACCTCATCAAGAAGCATGATGGATCGGATGTTTGCACTTGAGGTAATCGATCTGCTTCAAAATAAATCATTAATTAAGTTTTCCAAACAAAAGAATGTGGAATGTGTACGGCAATAAAAAGCTTACCGTTTTAGCTTGAGCTTGGTTTACAGTATCAGACATGTGGATTGCCAGGAACTCAACTGACTGTATTGGCAGAAATTTTACCACCATATCCCATTTTATTTCTAGTTAAGCTTAAAGTTCCTATTTACCCTGTTTTTTTTGGAAAAAAAAATAACTTTCTTATAATTTTATATATGAACTGAGTTATTCCCAAAGTTCTGGCCTAAACTATTAAGAGATTTACAAATTAAAAGCAGTTTATTTGGGCTTCATACAAGCAAGATCTAGCCAAAAAATTAGGGAAGATTGAACCTAACCTTGATTCTACTTTATATTAATGTTATTTAAATTTGGCACAACCTACATACAATATTTCATGATATTCTGAATCTTATGATGAATGTTAACTAGAATGTTAATATAAATGCTAACTAGAATGTTAAGATGTACTGTAGAGTCAGGGAATGAATCATTTTCATCATTGCATAACTATGGTCTGATTGAGTGTTTTCTATTCTAAGATTGATGAAATGATCAAGCAGTCCTTTGATATCTTTGAATATCGTCATTTTATTTTGCAGATCTTTTCCTCACATTGAATTAAACTTTTGTAATAATGTTAGAGTGCTATCTGTGTGAATTGTTGAGTTATTTAACTGTCCAGTTTTTATTAACAATGGGGAATAGGCTGTATTTGAGACCCTCCAGTGTTATTTGATAAGCTTAGTCATTGTTACATGCTGTTGAGTCAACTGCAACTCAGAGTGACCCTGTGAACAGCAGGTCTGAACCTTGCCTTACCCTGAACGGTCCTCACTATACATGTCATGGCTTGGGGAAAGTGGATTGAGGCTCAGTTTGAGTCCTACTCTTGGTATTTATTTTGTAAAACTATTTTTGTATTCATTTAAACTATTGAAACTTCCCTGGAGCAAGGTACTTAATAACATGTTGCTACATTCAATTTCAGCAAAAATTTTCAAACCATTTTACTTTCTTGAGTTAATCAGTCCCACTAGTCTGAGTTTAAACACTTTCTATGGGAGATTTTCACCCTCACAGCAAGCAGTACATTTTCTCTTTGAATAACCTTTGTTGTAATCTAAGGTCTAAAACTGGAAGTGTTTCCAAGGGAGTAAAAACAAAAACAAAAAAAAAACAAACCCACAAAGAAAAAGCCAAGCACAAAAGCATACAAATAAAGTAAAAAACTTCCTTTCTTCGAATGATATGGGAAAGACTTTTTTCCTACCCATTTCCTACCTCTTCTTCCAGTTTCTTAGACATATCTTTATTTTGTCAGTTATCACAGAAAATTTTTATTTTTGTTGATTCTATCTATCGGTAAGACCCATGAAAAATATAGCTATCTATTTACCATCAGAACCTCATTATTTGAAAAGTAATCTGTCCTCTCAGTGATTTGGAGCCCGGACAGAGGAGTGATAATAGGTATTTAGTGCAGGTTTTGTTGTCATTTCATAAATTTGTGACCTGGAACAACTTATCTAACCTTCACTTCAGATTACTTACTAGTAAAATGGAAATAACAGCATTACATCATAGGATTTTAATGAGGATCAAATGAGCATAGGGTACTGATAACACTTAGGATTGTCTCTGGCACAAATAATAGCTGCCTTTTTAAAAAGAAAAACAAAAACAACCAAGCTCATCTTGATATTCCTGGGAAAAAAATGGCACTGAGGCCTTAGGACCAAGGTGTTTGGTTGTGGTTAAACATATTACATAGTTTCCTTATTTTGCCTTTACAACAAAAAATGTTATAGGTGTGAATATGTTTGTAGCACATACAAATATGTATATAGAAAGAAATATGTTTTTTAATTACTCCCTTTTTTGTTACTGTCTTCATGAGTATAGTCTTATTAGAAATGTGTGTGCCTCTTGCAAGACCTGGGAATGAAGAGGCCTGAGAAGTCTAGATAAAGAAAATATTATCTGAGGTGAATTTGAAAAAGCCTGGAGCAGCCAGCATGGCTTGCCGTAAAAGATGTTGAAGTTGGAAGGGGAAAAAAACCCACAAAACTCCACAGATTATGCCTAGGAGTAATGGAGAAACCTTTCCATAATGCTGTTTTTGTATTACTTTCAAAGAGAGGTGATTTCGTTTGTTCCTAAAATACTGATAACATTTTTATTTTCACTTAACTAATAATAGTTTTCTCGGGTTATTATTTTTCCTTATGAATGCCAATCTATTTATACATAGACTGTTTAATTTTCCTATCTTCAGAGAGAGGATGCTATTTTCCACTTTTAGTAAATGCACTGATTTATTTCATTGTAACCTTGAGGAATTTGTTTCTCTTTTAGGACCTGTAATTCTGATTTTTATTGTCATTGTTGTTATATTCTAATAAGTAAGAATTAACTCATAGCTGACCCTTCAGTAGGTTTTCCCAGGATTCTGAAGCTTTATCTGATATACTTTGGGCATTTTTGCAAGGAGGGACTTGTTCTTGGAGAAGGATGTCATGCTTGGGATGGTGGAGGTACAGTGTAGGAGGCGAAGACCCTCTATGAAGTGGATTGATTGATTCAGTGGCTGGGGTAATCAAAGTAGGTGTGTTGGAGACAATGAGATTGGCATGGGACAGAACAGGGTTTAGGGCTGTTGTACATAAGGTTGTTGTGAGTTGCAGGCGACTCGACAGCACATAACAGCAACAATATAAAAATTCATAGATTAATCTCTCCTTTTGCTCTGGGATAGAACCAAATGCCACAAGGAAGGGGATAACCCTGTAGAGAACCTCTGTTTATAAGATTTCAATGTAAATGCCTATATTTATCCAATAGCATATCACCCTTTTCATCCCTAGTTTTTAAATTTTTTAATTTTTTAAAAATTTATTCTTTTTTTGTGTGTGTACCATCAAATTGTATCTGGCTGGTACAAGAGGAGGTTGCCCCTCTTTCTCAAACAGAGCATCTGGTGGATTTGAATCATATACCTCTGGGATTGCAGTGCAGCTTCTTGCCATGAGGCCACCAGAGCTCCCATCCCTATTTTTTGAATACGTAACAGTTGAGGAACTTTAATCAGTAGTACTGCTTATTTGTTAAAAGGTTTAAAAGAGCTGTCTTTTGGAAATGTGTTTAAAAGTCAGTGTTTGCATTCATCATAAGTAATTACATGAAGTTGTAGCAGATTTAAAGTGTTTACCACTTCACTTACTAAGCAATACTGTATGTCAGGTTTTTATTTTAAGAATTCTTCAAATATCAAGCTGAGTTAAATACCTTCCATATTGAAAATTAGTTCACAATGAAACTGGAATACAGATCTATGCTATCTGATGTTAAAACCATCTATTTTTCTTTATTTAAATACTTCCTTCTTGGGCGGCTGAGAATTTTTCAGAGTTAATAGAAACAACATGCATTCAGGTTTAGAAAAAGTGAAGTTAAAAAAAGTATGTCCTAATTTTTTTATTTTCAAAACAGGTAAAACCATCATTAGTTATTTTTTTCTATTCTAGAATAATATTTTCCTCCATGACTACTTTGCTATGGGGAAAATTCCCTTTTATTCAGTGGCTAGGAAAGTTAGATAGTGCAGCCACTGCCCCTTCTTCTGTTTATTTTAGAACACAAGAAAAGATTATTCCTGAGACTAACCTTACTGCTTATTAAAATTTCTAGAAAATATGATGAAGAGTTACTATTATTGGAGCCTTTATTTAAAAGAAGATATTTTTGGAGTACCTATCATATGCCAGACATTATTTGTTTCAACTAATAATTACAGAGGAAATGGGGGGAAAATAGAATAAAGTCTCTCTTGAGGACCTTATACTTCTGGGGAGTTTTTAAGTGTATTTTTTGAAATTTAATAAGCTTAGTGTGTCTTCTCTTTTTCCGGTCTGACATGATCGTGCTTTGTGGTCTTAACATTTTTAGGTTTATGGGTCAGAGGAACCTTCTTTTCACTTGGCCTAGTTGGGCTTGTTTTGCAACTGTGAGGGAACTTTGGAAGCCTATTAAGATACATCGTATTAAATAGCTTGATTGTTAATAGTATCTTTGGAAAGATGGGTTAGCACCAACAGTGTGTAATAGTCTCATAGCCCAAGGAAGTGGGCAGAAACCTGCTCTGTTCTCTTTTTGTCCTCAACTAGGCATTAGGCTGGATCAGGGAGGCACTGTGGGAAGGTCTAGCAGCCAGCTCCACACACTTGACATTTTACTGAGCCACATGTTCCTCATCACAGTTCTGAGTTAGATTGTGTTTATACCCAATCATGATGGCCTCATCTCAGTTTTGAAGCCAAGTAATACTGAGTTTTTGGTTTACTAAAATTGATTCCTGTAGGACAGAGATGATCCCATTCTCCCTCATCATGGTGACCTGATTGCCAGCATCATGAAGACTGTTGGTGTTGAGTGGACCAGCCCCGAGCCACTTGAGCACCAGAGAAAGATGGACATTTTAGAATGTCTTCTTCTAGACAGCCAGATTTCTTCTTCGGCCTGGGAACAGTTTTCTTTTCTTTCCATTTCTCTCAGGAACTAGAAAATTCATGGAATTTTTCTTGTCACTGTAGAGGTTATGAAGCACTTGCACAGATTTTGGAATGCTGTGGTTCAGATTGAGTCCGAAAATCCACATACTTAACATGGAGCAGTAAGGAGGGCAGGGCAGAGCATTTGAGTGCAGATCTGTTGATTGGACATTGTATACTGCTTCCAAATAACTGGACTTATCTAGTTGGGTAAATATTCCTTATATGTCTGTCTGAAGCCAGCACACAGAACTCGGAAATTATCTTTAAGCAACCTTGTTGGTATAATGTTAAGTGCCCAGCTGATAACCAAAAGATTGGTGATTCAGACCTACCCAGAGATTTCCCAAGAGAAGGAAAAAAAAAGAATTAAGATCTGTTTTTGTTAAGACTCAATCTAGGGAACTTATCTTCTATATTTAAAGTCATTGTAAGTTAAGATGACTGCTGGCACACGGATTTTGATACCATTGTCAGAACCCAAAAATGCAGAGAGAAGGAAATGAAGATTTCATGAGAGGTAAATTAGGGTTGTGTCCTGTTACTCTATATGATCTATCTATATGCTGAACAAATAATCCAAGAAGCTGGACTATATGAAGTACATACAACCTGGCATCAGGATTGGAGGAAGACTTACTAGCAGCCTGTGATATGTGCATAACACAGCCTTGCTTGCAGAAAGTTACTTGATCTGCACATAACACAGCCTTGCTTGCAGAAAATTACTTGATCTTACTGATAAAGTTCAAGTCCAAAACCTTCAAATATGGATTGTACCTTAAAAAATGAAAATAAAAATTCTCACAACTGAATCAATAAACCACTTCAGGATAAATGGAGAAAAGTTGAAAGCTGTCAAGGATTTAAGTTTATTTGGAGCCATGATCAGTGCCCATGGAAGCTATAGTAAGAAAGTTAAATAATATGTTGCACTGGGAGGATCTTCTGTAAAAGACCTCTTAAAGTACATCAGAGTACAGGTGTCATTTTGAAGACTAAGATGAACCTGACCCACGCCATGGTATTTTTAATCACTTTTCGTGCATGTGAAAGTTAAACAGTGAATAAAGACCAAAGAATTGATACCTTTACACTGGTATCTCACACACTGCCAAAACAACAAATAAATCTTCCTTGGCAGACATGAAATCAAGGTGCTCCTTAGAAGCCAGGTTGGTGAGACTTCATCTCACATACTCTGAACATACTATCATGAGGGGCCAACCACTAGAAAAAGGGACATCGTTCTTGATATAAAGTATATTGTTGTATGTCCTGTCAAGTCAGGACTGACCCATAGCTTACCCTCCAGCAGCTTTTCAGATGTAGTAAATTGTAGGACAGGAAATTGCCTGTTTTTCTTCTTCAGAGCAGTTTGTGGATTCAAACCACATGCCTTCAGTTTGGCAGTGCAGCTCCTTACTGCCAGGTGACTATAGCAGCACCAGCACCAGAAGATGAATTGACATAGTGGCTGCAGGAGTGGACTCAGGACAGCTGCCCCTTTTAAGGATGATGTAAGAGCAGAGGGGAGTCGTTCTGTTGTACACAGAGTTACTATGAGTTGGTTAGAGAGCACTTAATAGCACTCAACCACAGACTTTTTTTTAGAAGCTCAGGTGAAATAGCCCTATTATTTGTCAGAATTTAAATAGCATTGACATTCTTCCTTCTTCCTATTCTTTCCTGCATGTTTTAGTTGTGGGTCAGAAGAACTTGCTTTGTTTCTTTGAAATCCTGGTCAGTTTCTATGTGTTTTCCTGTCTTGATAATCATTTTCCATAGTTGTTGTTGTTGTTGTTGTTGTGTGCCGTCGAGTCGCTTAGGACTCATAGCGACCCTATGTACAACATCCCTAAACTCTGCTCTGTCCTGTGCCAATAGCTCCATCTCCGATACACCCATCCCGATTACCCCAGTCACTGAATCAGTCCACCTCATAGAGGGCCTTCCCCTCCTGCGCTGTCCCTCCACCCTACTAAGCATAATGTCCCTCTCCAAGGACTTGTCCCTCCTTGCAACATGTCCAAAGTATGTTTAGACAGAGCCTTAGAATCCTTGCCTCCAAGGAGCAGCCTGGTTTGACCCTTTCCAGGATGAATCTGTTTTCCTAGCAGTCCATGGTACCCTCAATACTCTTCTCCAGCACCACAGCTCAAAGGCATCAATTCTCCTTCTATAGTAGCTTCCTAATAATTAGTAATCCCTTCTGTGTCCTTGAGGAAAAGAAAAAGACCCTAACAATGTAAAGGTTGAGTCTTTAGGAGTGCTTCCTTATGGGCAGATTTACCCCCACTGCGTAATGATGATACCTGGCTGTTCAAAAAGCCAGTGCTTCTTTCTTTGTCAGGAAAGGAATATCTTGGTTTTGTCTCCAACCACCTTATTTTCATTTTCCTCCTGATGAGAACTAAGAAAGGAACATGGCTCTTGACTGTCGAATTCTGTCCTTTGCCCCATTCCCTTTGTCCTCCTTTCCTCTACTGTCTCATCCTCCACCTCTCCTCGATTCTCTCTCTTCCTACAACTTCGCCTTGAGATTCCTCTCCTTTGTTAGGATTAATCTAGGACATTTTTAAAAGAATATTCTTTGATCTGTCAATTGAAATTTATACAGCCTTAAATTCTGTACTGTAGAGATTCTTAAGTGTCTGATGATGGTTTATTATCACTGAGGTACATTTTCACGTGTCACAACAGGAGGCTGCTTCTGTCTGTCCCCAGTCATGTGCAGGCGGGGAAAGGCTGGTGATGAGCAGTCACATGCTTTATGTCTGATGTTGGAAGAAGGAAATAGAAATGAGAAAGAACATTTTAATCCCTGGTGTTTTAAATGAAAGATCATTTTAATTTCAGGTGGTACGAACACTCATTCCAAGACACCAACTCATAGCGGACCCGCCAGAGGTTTTCCGAAGCTGTGAATCACATGTTGTTGTTGTTGTTGTGTGCCATTGAGTCACTTGTGACTCATAGCGACCCTGTGTACAAGAGCCCTGAACGCTGTTCTATCCTGTGCCAAGTCTCAAACACACTCATTCCCACCGCTCCACTCACAGAATCAATCCATCTCATCGAGGGTCTTCTTTTCCTGCGCCTTCCCTCCACTCTCCCAAACATGATGTCCCTCTC